GTTCAAGAGCTTCATCATCATTTAAGCCTTCCTTGTGTGCCTCTTTAGAGAGTTCTCCAAGGGTATGTAGTTCCTTCTGTAGACTGGCCAGCTTTTCCTGATAAAAATGTATAAAATTATTTGACAGAGGTCCTTAAGGAGAGGGATACAAATATTATCAATTAAACGAAGTACGTCCAAGACATTTAAACATTAAGCATATGACAAAACCTAACCGTTTCTACCATGTCGATGCAATTCAAAAAATACTTAAAACAGAATGGAAAACAACTAATCCTATCCATACGAAAAAAACAGCCGATTTGATTGGAAACGCAGAGTGTTATACTTTCACAAGTTTAGCATGCAAAATTTTGTCACCTGGAATTTCTATTCATCACTGTAAATCCGCAAAGATTATACTTCCTATACAATGCCTCAAATTTATGCCAATGTTCTGTTTCTAAATGATCCATCCAGGTAAAAAAATTCTGTGTACATGTGTCGCATTGCTTTATTTGGTGAGGAGAGACATATGTCTCAGGCCATAAGACTCCCTTTTCAATTCTTTTGTCTCGTCCAGCATGGTTGGAGTATTTATTACTGAACTCAGTTAGGCTAATGAAAGAATAATATTCAATAGAGAAGGGACTTCTCCTATCATAAGCTTGGTAAGTTTTGCTGAAGATAATCACTTATAGCGTCTTTCTTAAAAGGTAGAAATAATATTATTGTAAAAATTTCATTTTGCATGAAATTATACGATGATACATTAGTTGATCTGATCGGAAGACGACGGCCGATTCTCTTTCTTCTGAATCTGTTTCGCTTTAATACGAAGTTAAGTTTGTGCATCCCACTGTTGAGCTTTTATCCGTTATATTGCACAGAACATTAGAGTGGGCCCTCATTGTTGCACAAGTAACGAATTAACACTATGTCAAAACTTTGTCTTTATTTAGCACTAAGTTAAGAAGACCACTCAACGATCTACTTATCATGCATTTTTATACGAAATTAAAGGAGATAACAATATTATTTCAATAAATTCGTCGGAAGCGAACTACTCTTCATAGGCAGAAATAA